ATATATATATATATATATATATATATATATATATATATATATATATATATATATATATATATATATATATATATATATATATATATATATATATATATATATATATATATATATATATATATATATATATATATATATATATATATATATATATATATATATATATATATATATATATATATATATATATATATATATATATATATATATATATATATATATATATATATATATATATATATATATATATATATATATATATATATATATATATATATATATATATATATATATATATATATATATATATATATATATATATATATATATATATATATATATATATATATATATATATATATATATATATATATATATATATATATATATATATATATATATATATATATATATATATATATATATATATATATATATATATATATATATATATATATATATATATATATATATATATATATATATATATATATATATATATATATATATATATATATATATATATATATATATATATATATATATATATATATATATATATATATATATATATATATATATATATATATATATATATATATATATATATATATATATATTTGTAACGAGGAGACTGACACGGAGGGATCCATTATGCAGTATTTATTTATCAAGCTCTCACTCAAACACACAATATGCACCAATGTGCAAACACACATCAACAAACGTCTTAAAGGTATCAAGACTGGTGGTAAACAGACACAGAGGGATTTACCAGACATGGGTCAAAGGCAGGCTGCGTGAATCAGAGTCCGTGTATCAGGCTTGAGTAGTGGGCAGGCAGCGAGTATCAGAGTCCGTGTATCAGGCTTGGGTCGTGGGCAGGTAGCGAGTATCAGAGTCCGTGTATCAGGCTTAGGTCGTGGGCAGGTAGCGAGTATCAGAGTCCGTGTATCAGGCTTGGGTCGTGGGCAGGTAGCGAGTATCAGAGTCCATGTATCAGGCTTGAGTAGTGGGCAGGCAGCGAGTATCAGAGTCCGTGTATTAGGCTTGGGTCGTGGGCAGGTAGCGAGTATCAGAGTCCGT